ACTCACCCACCGTAAGGGATACCCAGCAACCTTCGTTGGGAGACTCACCCACCGTAAGGGATACCCAGCAGCTTTCGTTGGGAGACTCACCCACCATAAGGGATAGGCAGCAACCTTCATTGAGAGACTCACCCACGGTAAGGGATTGGGTAATGGATTGGGTTTACATTTTGTTTAGAACCAATAGTTCTGTAATGGAAATGTTTAGAACCAATAGTTCTGTAATGGAAATGCTAGCAAGTTTGCTTGTTTTTAGTTTGTGGATTTCTCGTGTATATTCTCTATTGCTGATTATCCGGCTACTCGTGGGAGCTGTAATGGAAATGCTAACATGTTCGCTTATGCTTAGTTTGTGGAGTTTGTTGGTTTTTAGTCCGTGGTTGTGGCGTAGGTTTCTGGAGATGATGCCGTGGGTGATGCGGTGGGCGATTCTCACGCTAATTATCCGGCTACTCGTGGGGGCTGTAATGGAAATGATGCTAACAAGTTTGCTTATTCTTAGTTTGTGGAGTTTGTTGGTTTTTAGTCCGTGGTGGTGGCGTAAGTTTCTGGTGGAGATAAGTTTCCGGTGCAGAACAGGAACGTGGAGATTGGCTAACGCACGCATGCCACATTAGTTATTCATAGCAGAAAGTAGGAATGTCCTTTGAATTGGATTCGAGTTACCCCATTGAATCTGGTTGTCATTCTTGACAAGGATGGGCTCCCCGCACCACCTTCTATGTGGTCAAGCATTTCTTGTTTTGTAGTTCTGTGTTTGTACTGTGTTTCTGATGTGGTTGCTGTATTTGATTTTCACATATGCGTCTTTTGTTTCTGGGCCAAAAATAATAATAAAAGATCGAAAGCTTCACATACCAAGATCCCAATGCCTGCTTAAAAGAGGGTAAAAATCAATATTTAACCCTTTACTTTACAAATTTGGTAAGTTTTAGTCTCTCATTTTACAAAATTGATAAGTTTTAACCTCTCACCTTATATTATAACATTTTTAACCCCTCACCTATATGAATTGAAGAAAATAACTCTCACCTAATATTAGGTTATAACATTTTGTTGAGTCTGTTAGTTGACTGTGAACATCCGTTAGTATTTTGTTATAGAAAATATGAAATTTAAATTTAATTTTATTTGTTAATTCAATTTTATTTGTTAGTTTCATTAACGGAATGTTAATGGATACTAACAGTTAGCTAACAGAACTAACAGTCAGCTAACAGAACTGATAGTCAACTAACAGAACTAATAGAACATTATAACTTAATATTAAGTGAGAGCTATTTTCTTCAATTCATATAAATAAAGGATTAAAAGTATCATAATATAATGTGAGAGGTTAAAACTTACTAATTTTGTAAGATAAGGGATTAAAACATACCAACTTTATAAGATAAATAGCTAAAAGTGTCATATTATAAGGTTAAAAGCTAAACCTACCAATTTTGTAAGGTGAAGGGCTAAAACTTGGTTTTAGCTCCCAAAAGAGAGAATAAAAAGACTAGCAGTAGGTGAATTACTTTAATTAAAGTTCTTTTAAGGAAAATGAATTGATGAGAGTACAAAACTTTAATTACTGATAGTAGTAGGATTGATTGAATTGAATTATCCAAAAAAAATTCAGAAGAATTTTTCATATTGAAGCGTTATACTATTATTCTAATTTTGGTTAATTTGATCAATAATGTTGCCAATTATGTATTGGTGTTCTTATCACTAAAATGCAACAATTGAAAAAAGAGGAAATCTTTTATCATAAATTTATTAGATATTTCTTCAATATCAAGTATAGACTTAATTTTAAATTTTAAGTAAAAATTTTCTAACAAAATTCATTATAAATATATCTAGAATTTTTATAATGTCTATAATATTGATTTATTTGCTACTATTAAAGATATTAGTATAGTATGAGCTATGAAAAGGCAAAAATATTCATAATAAGTTAAGGACACATGGAAATTCATTAATACTAGATTTTTTAGTACACAAAATCAAAAATATTTTGAAAAGAATGTGCATTTACAAGAACTCAAATGTAGGAAAAACTTATAGAAATTTTATAATTATTAGAACT